TTTTTCTGCAACTTTCTATTGATTTATAGAGTTCAGCATGAAGATTGACAACATTAGTAGTAGGAGTGAGATTTTAATTGAAGGTGTCCCTGAACATTCAACTTCACAAATATGGCAGTTTGTGCCGCTTTAAATTTGCCATTTAAAAAAAAAAGCTTCTGCTCAAATTAACACAAAATCTGTAACTCTGGAATTTTCATCAGCTGGGTTCTAACCATTGGTAACATCTTCAGAAAGATTTGAACTGACATCTGACTCCACCAAAAAAAACGCATCTACAGGCACACTTTAAATGATACAAATGGGCAAAAGTGGGCATCTGATTTGTTTGCTTCCTGTATGTTCATGATTTGGTTTTCATTGATTCTCCAAAGAGTCTGGGATGCCTCGCTGTGCATTAATCTTCCAGAATGACACACAGGACAAAATATCAGAAGCACATTCTTGGAGACACATTCTGTTAGGAGAAGATACAAATGCATAAAAATAGCTTTTAAAAGGAGGAACACCCCAGTTTGACATATATAAACATCCTCTATTGTTGATACTCTGTGGAAACAGTCCCCTCTGATATTGAAAAGGCTTTAACACTATATCTTATCTCAGGAATGTATTTACTATAGTCAAGGCTTTATGCACCGATGCCAAATATTTCTCGGCAAACCTTCTCATATCCCCTCTGTGTATTCTCCCAACGCCACACTCAACAAGAACAGTAAATCACAAGAATATTTGACATTCCTACCTTTACCTCCCAGTTATTTTAAGCCTTGTGCAGTAAAACATACATGCAAAGAACTATGGGATCACATTAAAGCATATTTACATTCTCATCAACTCCCCCACTCAAGGCACATCTGAAGTCTGTAAACCCTGGCTTTATGGCACTGGGTGGACAGCAAATGCGTGCTGTTAACCCAACCAGCTGTGAAGAGCAACAGCCATACAGAGGAAAAGATCAGCTATCAGGCAGGCAACGGCAAATAACTGTCCCTTGGCAAAGCTGCAGTAATGACCTCCAACTAGAATAAAGAGGGCATGACAGCTAACCACAATGCTAATGATATTCCCTTTTTAAGCTCTAAAGAAAAGAAAAGGTTCTTTTCTCTGCGGGATTAGAGGTATAACAGTACGGTCAGAAGTGGGGCTGGATTAATGAAGAGGCCTGAGCGAGTCCCTCCTGCTGTCTCAATCATTCCCAAAGCTGTTTAAGTTGCTGCTGTTTTTTCTATCAATAAATCTTTCCAAGAGGAAGAGTAATCCATCAGATTTATAACCAGAACAAATATGTTTGATGTCTAATTTAAATGCATTTAAGACTCCTAACAAAAATATCCAAGAATAGCCCTTTACTTTAGCACCAAATCATCAAAGAACCAATCAAGCTCTGACTTTATCAGCCACCTGTGTCGATAACAAGGTATTTTCTTACAGCTATTACTCTGAGCATGCTAGACGATGTGGAGGGGAGCACAATCCCATCAACTGACATGAAAATAAAATCTCCTAAAATTCTTGCTGCAGGTTTTGCACATTTTATGATTTTGTTTGGTTGTCTTCTTTTCAGTACAAAATGGAGCCTTCCTCCATGAGTGTTTTCATGCATTCTATTAATATATTTCTACCCATCTTGAGGGAAACTAAAGACCTAATGTAATATTCTATGTTTTGGTCCTAATCCATTATTAGAAGAAAAGTTTTAAAACTCCTATAAAGAAACATTCTAAGCATGTGAACTAAATCATACTGGCGAGCTGAACATTTATCTGGACAAATAGGAGAGCCTCTGGATACAGTGATGTTCTGGCATGAATTGTTCTTTGATCAAAATGAATTTTATGACAAATCCACTAAATAACTGTCTTTCTAATCAATTCAAGCAAGTTTAGCAGTGAGAGCATTTTTTGAGTTCGAGGTCAGTTTATTAGAAATCAAACTTTGTATGAAGGATTTGGATATGGGTGCATTTGTCTTAAATTATGTCTGTCTGTCTGTCTATTATTTTCACAAAATGCATATTAGTTTATTTCACTAAATGCATTCCCTGTTATTTAGAAACCTGCTATAGCAGGATGTTGAATTTCCTGCATGTTTTTTCATTAGAACGGGGTTCCCAAAGTGGGGTCAGGACCACTGATCTCTATTTATTCACTGGACTGCTGATTGCCCGAAAAAAGTGAAGCCACAAGTCGCCATATTGGTACTCCCCACTCCCACGGAGATGCGTAGTAAAAATAGTAGTTAGTAGTAGTACTAACCAAGAAAATCTATATATACATCGATGTATCCCATACTATAGTATGTGGCATATCATTAGTCTGGATATCTTGGACCGACTCAAAGACATTGACAGTGTTAAGGCCAATTTATGCTTCTGACGTATAGCCTCTGCAACCGTCAAATCTGTCTCTGAAAAAAAATCCTGACCATGTGTCAGATGGTCGCAAAACCCGCGTAGAACTCAACTGGAAGTGCGCAGACAAAAAGCAGCTGTGATTGGTCCTTGGTATGCCTTTCCGGCTGTATGTGGGGTCGTCCTTCTCGATTCTGAGCCAGGGTGCGCCATTTTTAAAAACCGAGGAAAAACTACAATGGGCAACTACGACAAAGATTACTCGAAGAGGTTCGGAAGTACAACCACTTGTACGATGCCTCAGACAAATTATATAAAGATGCAAAGGTCTCTGCCAACTCCTGGAGGGAGATCAGCCAGAACCTGTTCCTCTTTGATTTCTAACAACTCTAGATCCATCTCCCTGACCGTGATATCTTGCAGACGCGCCATTGTTGTTTTGGAAGATAAGGACTCCCACCGGTGATGCCAAAGTCCTTGTGACCATCCGCCAAAGGTCTCGCGAGTTCTCGAATAGGCTAACCCTTGTGCTTTGGCAGGAGACTGCTGTGCGTCCCTAGAAATTCCAGACCGATGGTGCAGAAGCATACCAGCAAAATTGGTTTGCAACCAGACGCAAGCGACATTTGATGTGTGCGGATGCAGAAGTCTAATCTGTCCTTTAGTCATTGACATTGTGTCTAATGTTAGAAAATAAAAAGCAAAATAAATAGAAAGTAACTGATTGCGAACTGTCAATATAGTAATTCTTTACGTAGTTGTTTTTGCAATGCTGTGTTTTTCATTTGAAAAAGTCATGTGCTGAAATATATTGCATGTTACATTGATGGGAAAAAAAGCAACTCAAAAATGTTTAAAGGCTAATGCAGAGAGATAGCATACTGCAGCAATATCAGACATGTACTTGCAATTTAGTCTTGATGTAAAATCTTGAAATCATATGTTATATGTTATTACCATAACAATGAAATACAATAAAGTATATTACATTTACATCATCAACTTTTGGAACATCTGTATTATGATGCTCAATTAACACAGTAATTCTATTGTGATGGATTTGTATGATATGTTATATTACATGATTTATAGACTTCCTACTGACTATGCAATGGGATGAGTCTATTTTTTATTATAAGTTAGAGTAATCTACTCATGCTATGAAACAGTAAGAGTGTGTCAAAGTGAGACTTTATCTTTAATGTAAAAGTCTTAAGTTCCCCTGAAAATGAGAATATCGTCATTGTTCGATACTGTAAGACACATTATGTTTACATTGCGACTGGTCTCACTAGGGAGTACCAATATGGTGGCCGGTGGCTTCACTTAAACCCTGTACTACCAACGTGCAATCAACAATCCCGTGAATAAATAGAGATCAGTTTTTAGGACCCACTGGGGGTCACAAGACACCAAAGTTGGGGGTCGCAAGTTTTTTTTGACAACCATCGTGAGGTGATCCCTGAGATATATATTATATAAAATGACATAAATGTGAAAGAAATAAAGAGAAGTTGCATTTATCTGTTTATCCAAGACATAATTCAAATATTACATATGCTGTGAAAATGCAAAATGCACATATTTACACATCCCATTATATATTCTAAAATATGTTTTTAATAATAAATTAAATATTTCAATGTAGGGCTTCAGTATGGCCAGTTTGTAACAGTGTTGTCCATCAGAAAGTAGGTCCTGGGTTTGAATCTAAGCCCAGCGTCTTTTTGCATGGAGGTTGCATGTTCTCCCTGTGCATGAAATGGTTCTCTCCCGGTACCCCAGCTTCCTGCCACAGTCCAAAAACATGAGTGTTAGGCTGGAGAGCAGCTCTAAATTAAATCCTTAGGTGTAACGGTGTTAATTAGTGTGCACGGTTTTGTGTTTCTGTGTTGGCCTGCGATGGACTATCCAGGGTGTACTCCACCTTTCACCTAAAGAATGCTGGAGATAGAAACCAGCCCCACCGCGACTCTGATGGATGAAGTTAGAGAACATGAATTTATGAATATTTCAGTGTAGTTTTTTAATAATCAGTATATTTAAAATAAGTGTAATTACATAATTTGTATACATATATTGATAAGTAGGGAGTTTTATGGGTGTTTATCAGTAGGTTACATTGTTATTATTTTGGGTCACAGGCTGAAATATTTGTGAAACCGTAGAAGATCGATCCCCTTCCTTTGAACACCCCCACCACCCCAATGAAGCCCATGGTGATTCACACTTTACTGGTGATCAATATAGAAACAATTTCATCTAATGTTTATGCAACGTTGTTTGTATTTATACCCTAGTTAGGTATGATCAGGTTTTTCTAATTATTTCTTAAAAGAATGTTGGTTCTGTTGAAAAGTATTTTCAAATTAGATAAATTTGAGGTGTCAAAACAGGACTGCTGCTTTCTTAAGATTCTTACTGTGAACAACATGAGTGGTGGGGAGATTTTTAAAGAGGTCAACATGGAAAAAAGCACAAGACAATGTTTTCTTAACAACTCCCTGACTAAACTTATCTTTTTTCTTCTGCTCATGGTGCCTCCCATGCTTTATCACCCCATGTTGCTCTTATCAGAAACTAACACAGTGTGAAAATGCTGATAAATACCAAAACAATATATTAATAATAATAATTCGACGCTTACCTTTTTCTTTGAAGCCTCAGACTTTTTGGACATATTTCTTAATTTTTTGTGCAAGTGATTAATCACCTGTAAACAAAAAAATAAACAAATAAGACAATAGATATAGTTTTGGTTGATCAGTAGGTATGCATACAGACTAACCCGAGCAGCTCTCTTCACTACAAAAAATGTGAATCTGAATGAGATATTTTTTCTTAATTTAAGTGCATTTTTGCTTGAATTGAGGAGATAAATGAGACACAATGCCAATGGAATAATATAATTTACATTGAAAATAAGAAAAAAAACAATTGCATTGTCTTATTTCCAGTGCATATATCCAAGTTTCTTATTTTAACTCATTCCACTGGCAAATCATCTTATTTACCTCCTCAAATTAAGGGTAAATATACTTGACCTAAGACATATTTGCTTATTTCTAGGTCATTTTTGCAGTGTTTACCTTTGCGTAACAGAAGGAAATGAGGAGAAGAGGCAAGACGTAACCAAAAACAAACGTGCACACCACGTAGACCTTTTTCTGGCTCTGATCCGGCCACACTTCCCAGCAGAAAGTTTCGTTATTCACCCCATGGAAGAGGTTCTGGTAGTGCATGATGGGTGCTGCCATGGCCAGGGAGAGGATCCAGATCACCACCACGCCGATCAGAGCGTGCCTCGCCACGCGGATGGAGGAGGACTTTCTGGAGTGCACGATGGCGATGTACCGGTCCACGGACATGGCAGAGAGGGTGAAGATGCTCACGAGCATGGACACAGTGAAGAAGTAGTGGATGAATTTGCAGATGAAGGCTCCCAAGACCCAGGTGTTCATCATGTAGATGGTGGACTGGAATGGGATGCAGAAGAGCAGGTAGGAGAGATCAGCGATGCTCAGGTTGAGGATGAAGATGTTGGTGGTGCTGCGCGGCTTGCCGGGCTTACTCCGGGCGAGCACGGTGATCACCATGGAGTTACCCAGCACGCCCAGTGTGAAGATCAGCAAAAACACCAGCAGCGTGATGAAGTTATCCGTGCCTATCCCAAATAAACGTTTATTATCTCCATCCTCTTCCAGGTCGGTGAGGTTCCACTGCTCTCCAAGGAGCCACACGGGCTCTGACAAGTTCATGATCTGTTTTTTTCCTTCCTTCACACCACCGGCTCCAGGCGCGTCTCCATGAGCGCTCCTGCTGGGTTTCACTCAAGGTTTTCCACTTTATATCAAACCCACCGCTTTACTTTTGAACATCACTTTAAATCTATGAGGTTAGAAATCAATATTCCACAGCTGAACAGCTTTCTGTGCGGCATCAACTCTCTGCTGCCAGCGGCGGCACCTTGGAGCGTCTCCGTCTTCTGTTGCGCATCAGACGCGTCTGCGCTCCTCAGCATCTGGACTTGGTCTCTCACTTTAAATCAGGGGGGCTGGGCTGGGCCATCAGCGTCAGCACCTATACCACCAACCATGAAATGCTGCGATGAAGGGGGCTGGGGACGGGCACGGGAGGGGGTTAGGAGAGGAGGGAAAAGAAATGAGCTACTTATTCTAATGCGTTTTATTCCTCCAGTTTCTGAATCCATCCTTGTATAATTTGGATGCCAGAGGTCAAAAAAACTTTTTTTTTTTCAAGCAAACTGGAGCGTAGGAGCATAAGAGATGTTATGCCTGGAGGGTTAAACAAAAGGAGGATTTTACAATAGCTGTTATTCGAAATTAGCTACAAACGACTTAGGGAAGCTTCACTGCTTGCAAGAAAAAAAAAACATTTCCCACAGATTTTCATTAAATAATGCATAACCTACTCTACAGATTAAACTATTAATATGAATTTACCTGACTCACATGAAGAAAAACAGTAGTAGCATTTTCACAACTCACAAAAAATAATTAAATTACTTTAGACTCTCTGTTAAGGAACAGGGAAATACGGCTATTTTTTTCATGCGTCACATATATATATATTTTTTTATTATTATTATTTTATTATTATTATTTAGATATATATGTATAAGCACCAACACCAACAAAAACACTGTGAAATGTATAGGAAAAAATAAATTCCTGCGGCGCTAAATGAATAATAGAGAAGTTTGTCTTGATGGTTATATCTTGTTCTGTTAATCCACTGATATAGTGACTGTGGTAAAATGGAAGACTGGTTCTTGATAACTTCATTCTGGTTTAAAACTGTCCACAATTTTATGTCTTACCTGTCGGCAGTATTACTTTGTCTTCTATATGCTTTTTGTTCACTGATGTTATCTAGCAAATCTCTCAGAGATTAGATTACACACAGGAGGACTCTGCTTTCTAATCAGGAAAATGACAAAAACTAATTGACATTAGTGGTATCGGGTTTATGGAGTCAAAAAGAATGAGCACTACATGTGTTTTGGCTTTTATTTATGCAAAGATGCACAAAAAAATCAATAATTTATCTGTTTCCTTTTTCACACACTGAAAAAAGAGGACAGTTGATTCAACTTGAATAATCTGCAACAACTGGAAACAAATAATCGAATTAAATTGATCCTAGTTAATGTATTAGGTATACAACTTGAGCACTTAAAGTTAAGTGTGTTAAAGAAACATTTAAAGTCTTATTGACAAATATCGGGAATAGTTTTGCACCAATTAATATATATGAAGCATGTTTGCCGTCTTTTGACACTTAACAGGGAATATTGGTTTTCTCCTTAAAGTGTAGCTGTGTGGTGTTATTGCAATAGGCATAGTTAGTGTGAGGGGTTGCCTTGGAGTCAATGAGTCGATGCAATCAACTGGTTTTCCTTAGATAGAAAATTTCTCTAACTGGTTTAATTGTCTCTGTAAAGTGCCTTGAGATGTTTACTGGCATGATATAAATAAACTGAATTGAATTTGAAATGGTCAGCATTATTCTACCTTATTGAATCAGGGAGGTTTCCTGATTTAAAAAAAATGGGGAAAGTGTTTTTATAGATAAGTCATTACATGAAACATCTCAAACCTCATCAGGTTACCATGGATGTCTAGCACTAAACTACATGGGTAAAACCATACATAATGTGAAGCTTAACACTGTTGAAGTTCAGAATATTATGAAGACCACTCATTTTTTCCCCCCTTATTAAATGGTGATCATTTTGGTCCAACTTAATTTAAATTATGGAAATTTTGACATTTGTCATGCCTGCTTTCTAAGTAACCAATTATTAGCTTGGAGAACTGTCACAAATATAATTCTAATAAGGACCACATTTGCAATACTCACATATTCTTAACAAAGAAACAACACTTTTCTAAATCGTACCATTTACTCAGAACCCAATTTTAGACATAAAATGCGAAGCTCCAATCACAACTTTTAATCTACTAAAGACAAAACTAAAGACATGATCAACATTCAGTCAACATTACCAGTATGGAAAGATAAAAACATATAAATCACCTGTCCTCTAATTTTATGCCAAAGTCTGTAAAACATTAATACTTGAAAGGCTGTTAGAAGTAGGCACCAGCCACCTGGACCCCAAAGAAAAAGTGTTAGAACATGGATGAATGGATCGCTTTGAAACACGGTATATGAAGTTCTAGTCACATTAACCCTCTTTTAAAAACATTGGGTGGGTATTCTGGTAAAAAAAAAAAGAAAAAAAAAGATAAATAAATGTAATAAGAGCATTGTGTGCGAGTTAGACTTCTGCTGCAGCAACTGTCTTTAAATAAAATTTTGCTTTAAAATATCCTTTGTTTATACACAAAAACTGTGCGTTATTTATCCACAGGTGCAACAGCTTGTTCTGCATAAAGGAACAGCATCTTATAAAAGTATTTTAGAAAAAAAAACAAACAAAAAAAACAAGTCCAATAATGAAAATGCACAACGAAATCTCAGCAATAAAAATCCTTCTGGGTCAGAGCTCAAAACAGGAGGATGCAGTACTTTGAGCCAGACAATACAGTTAGATTTCTCAGAATGTTTTATTAATAACAGAATCGGGTGTCTCAGGCAGAATCTCTGGGGGTGGAGACAGCAGGTTAGTCACCACGTCTTTCTGGAAGTGGATGATCACAAACAAGTGAATTACTAACCTGGTTTTATAGTTCAGTTTGTGTCCAGATGATGAGGATGTTTCTCTCTAGCTCTTTTATTCAAGCAAAACAAATAAAAAATCTGAACTTAAGGAGACATCTCGTGCTGCACATGTTGCATGAGGCTTTTTTGGAAGACTTTAAATGTGAAGTGTAGAGACTTTTGATATACAAGGTTAAAAGCATATATTAAACTCATAAGTCAATCTGAAGATACTTAAGTCACTTCATGGTACACCTCTACTCCCCCAGTTATGATGCCTATGTCTTCTGGAGGTTCTTTTAATCTCTCTCTTTCCTTCCAAATAACAAACACTGCCATGGTGAATGTCCTTAGCTCTGTTTCAGCACCATCCACACTGTAGTGAGATAAGCCATGTGTTACAACTTAAATACTGTAACCTATCCTTGATTACAGAATTCTACAGTAAAAGCTAATGAATGCAAGAATCAAGTTAAAGATTATTGCGATCCCCCCCAGATGTCCCGGGTTGGCCCCTCCTGGGATCCTTTGCTCTTGGTGGTCCCTTTGGGCGTCTGGGGCTTTGGGTCCCCCGGCGCTCACCTCGGTGCTCTGGAGGGGCACGTATTCAGCTCTTCACAACCTATTAAAGGAGAAGTTCGGTTTTTAACACTTTTAGCCCATTTTCTGTAGTGTCCAGGATGAAATCGAATGATCGACACCAAAATTTTGACAATTGGTCCTGTCTCTGCTTTTTGGCTCATTTAGAATCCACCCCTGGCTGCTTTAGAATGGCTTCCATAGTGCATGTCCGATAATGTCCTTAAAACAACCTTAAACGTTCTTTTTTTTAAATATGCTACTCACCGGGTCGTCAGCGCTGTTCAATGACGTTCCAAAAAAAGTTTCGTAAAGAAAAAACGTTCCTGTAGTGTTTTATTTAGCATTTTGTAAATCCCATTGAGTTCTGTTGGAATAGTCAATATTCCGCTGCCACCGGAAACGGAAATGGGGCCTGTTTACACAGTTGTAGCCTTTTCGCTTCTCTCTGTGTACTCCGACGTCGAGAATCAAGAATCCACCTTTCGTATTCCATTTTCAGAGTTTTTTAAAGTGTTTAACAGAGACGTTAGCACCTCGACGTCGGAGTACACAGAGTGAAGCGAAAAGACTACAACTGTGTAAACAGGCCCCATTTCCGTTTCCGGTGGCAGGGGAATATTGACTATTCCAACAGAACTCAATGGGATTTACAAAATGCTAAATAAAACACTACAGGAACGTTTTTTCTTCACGAAACTTTTTTTGGAACGTCATTGAACAGCGCTGACGACCCGGTGAGTAGCATATTTAAAAAAAAGAACGTTTAAGGTTGTTTTAAGGACATTATCGGACATGCTCTATGCAAGCCACTCTAAAGCAGCCAGGGGGTGATTCTAAATGAGCCAAAAAGCAGAGACAGGACCAATTGTCAAAATTTTGGTGTCGATCATTCGATTTCATCCTGGACACTACAGAAAATGGGCTAAAAGTGTTAAAAACCAAACTTCTCCTTTAAGCATTTTTCCTTTGGATAAACTTAACATGCACAAGTGCACTCTTACAAACAACTACAAGTGCTTTGTTCCAGGTACTTAGAAATTGACTTCCATACAGAAAGCCCATATTCTTATCTTCAGCTACCACAGTATGCATGTCAGATTAAATAATACCAATTATACTTCAGCGATAGTATCAAGGTGTTACTTTATTGTATCTCTTATACTATATCGGTTGCTGTTCTTTATACATCTATTTGCAGGTCATGAAGCAGACTGAAGATGTTTTATCTTTATCTCCCTTTTATTTCCTCTCTCTTTCATCTATTCTTCTTTTTTTCAGTTTTCCCTTTCCCGTTCTACTCACATTGCAGTGTCCATAAAATCTGTAATACTCCCTACATGAATTATAATAAAGCTATTTATATGCATAAATCAAGCGGAACACTATGGCGATAGCACTACTGCTTCACTTATGAAAGCAAAATCTGTTGGGCTCTGTTTTTGGCATTAAGACAATTATTCTTATTGCCACATTGGCAGACAGGACACTGTAAAAAAAAACAAAAAAAACATTCTAAATTCGACACCAACGGTTTCATTCACTTGTTGGTGAACAGCCAATTGAGTTGATAATGGAAAAAATAGTTTTCAGCCCTTTGAATCAATACTCTATTGCTTTCCATCACCAGCTGCTATGTACAATTTGTACTGTAACTGCTTAAACATTTTTTTATTTTCTTTGTTTATATGATAACTTACATATTTGCTGCTGAAGATTCTCAGTCATCCAGGTCATAGTCATTCCAAAAAATGTTACAAAAAAATACTATATAAAGCTTCAAACTCAACACTAATTCTGAAATTTTGAGTTGAAAAAGCTTCCTGGATGGGAAGCGAAATGTCTTCAAACTACT